GTAAAACTAATTGTGAGAGAGTGGTTGGTGGTGGCCATGCTATCAAGTGGTGTAGCAAGTTGGCGGCTCTTGGTTTAATGCAGCGAGGGGGAATGTCTCACCGCCAGAACCGATTTGTGACTCCGATTTTCTGTCGTGGCGGAGGAGCGGCCGCTTCACAAACCTGGAGACGGACCCAGTCTCGAGCAGTGGTTATTCTCAATCTGTTTTGGCTTCTGTGTAACTCCTTGTTGAATTTAGTTTCAAACGAGTCACTCCTCTGGTCTTACCCAAAATGGTTCTGAGAAATACATTTACGAATAATGAACATCAATAATTGAAACAATTTTCATTTTTGTGAGGTATCCTAACGAGCTGCTAACTGCAAGCGATTACAAACTAAAATCAACGGACGCTCTGAAAACATGAGGTCATCTGTTTGGGCTCGCTGGTTACTCTTGTAAACCACATTGCTTACGATCAATGAGTTTAGAAAGATGTATTTTATATCGTTACCATGTGGATTTACAATTGTATCGTAGTTATGTTATATTGTCAGATTCGTACGCAGTTATTCACCCCGTGTTGAGGACCTGGGGGTGCACGCTACCTCCTCTGAGTGCGAGATGCCCTTTCTGGGGGTGCGAGACACGGCCAGATTTGTTAAGAAGTTAAATAACACTGGTTAAAAAAAACATTTTTTTCTGGCCTGGACTTTTGCAGCTGTTTTAGACTAATTTCAGGGTGCTGATTCCGAATCTGACCTCATATTTGCTCTATCACATCTCATTTTTATGCTATCGGCATACCCCATTTTCATTGATTTTACCCGAAATTAACTCTGTCACTTACGATTGCAAGTTGTTGCGAGTCAGTGACTGCTTTAGTGTTAAAATATGGTGCTGTATTTTTAGGATAGTGTGTTTATAATATCATTTTATGTAGATATCCACATTTATTTAATATTTTTCCTCTGCAGTTTTTATTGAAAATGCAATATTTGATATCTCAAAAACCTGATGTGAAAGAAAAAACTGATGCCAGATTTGGAAATCAGCACCCCAAAATTATCTTAAAACCGTTGGAATACCTTGTGCCAAAAAAAGCGTGTTGACCAGTGTAATCGAAACACAAATTAAGCACAGGCACCTACGTGTGTGTATTAACATTACACATTTGTTAACGATTGAGAAGCACAGGGACGCAAGGGTGCAGTAAAGGTTAAGAATCACTGATCTAAGGATTGTTCTGTAGCCAAAAGTACAATGACGCACGCGGTAAGTTTACTTTGCTTAACGAGGAGAGAACGCCAGAGATCAGGGTGAGTCTCATTTGCAAGGTTTGCATGGGTCGCCTAAATCACAAAAGTAACACAATTACATTCAAGTTCAACAAAGAAGCAAATCGAAATCAGAAGACAACACAACAGTCACGCGAGAACTCGAAACTAGTACACGCAAACATCAATCGATGTTAAATAATGACTTCCCTGTAGTGCATGTCGGCTCAGGAACTTAGTGTTTAGCCACATCACATCACTTCGGTAACATGCACCTTAATGTATGATGCACGTATCACGTAGGGGGTTTACATCACGTACGATGTTTACATCACGTACGATGTTTACATCACGTACGATGTTTATATCATGTACTATGTTACCATCACGTACGATGTTTACATCACGTACGATGTTTACATCACGTACGATGTTTACATCACGAACGGTGTTTACATCACGTGCGATCTTTACATCACGTACGATGTTTACATCATGTACGATGTTTACATCACGTACGATGTTTATATCACGTACAATGTTTACATCATGTACGATGTTTACATCACGTACGATGTTTATATCACGTACAATGTTTACATCATGTACGATGTTTACATCACGTACGGTGTTTACATCACGTACGATGTTTACATAATGTACGGTGTTTACATCACGTACAATGTTTACATCACGTACGATGTTTACATCATGTACAATGTTTACATCACGTACGATGTTTACATCACGTACGATGTTTACATCACGTACGGTGTTTACATCACGTACGATGTTTACATCATGTACAATGTTTACATCACGTACGATGTTTACATCACGTACGATGTTTACATCACGTACGATGTTTACATCATGTACGATGTTTACATCACGTACGGTGTTTACATCACGTACGATGTTTACATAATGTACGATGTTTACATCACGTACGATGTTTACATCATGTACAATGTTTACATCATGTACGATGTTTACATCACGTACGATGTATACATCACGTACGATGTTTACATCACGTACGATGTTTACATCATGTACGATGTTTACATAGTGTACGATGTTTACATCATGTACGATGTTAACATCACGTACGGTGTTTACATCACGAACGGTGTTTACATCACGTACGATCTTTACATCACGTACGATGTTTACATCACGTACGATGTTTACATCACGTACGGTGTTTACATCATGTACGATGTTTACATCACGTACGATGTTTACATCACGTACGATGTTTATGTTATAAGGCAGCGGAGCCACACTCGCATGGCAAGTTGACACGGAGCAAGGCTCGTCTCGTAGTTACAACTCTGATCGAGTGGTGCAGATTCCACATTCCCATGGTTAAGGGCAAGTTATTGCATAGAACAACCACTGTTGATTTCCTACACACGGTCGTACCGTACTTCAATTATCGACCCTGTAGGAAATGAAGTGTCGAGTTCACTCAGGAGACCAGGATTCCAATTAGCAACCCTTCCAATTGCAGGTCCTGTAGCTCTGACCTCATCACCCCATTCTTAAAAAAAAACACAATTTCGTATTTACCCCCCAGGCACACACAACCAGCGCCAACGGGCAAACGATTACTACTAAACTAGTTTTTTATTGCACCAGGTAAGGCTCACCGAGCTGTATAGATCTTTTTTATACGCGACCTCGCCACAAATGATAGCTCAACGAAGTGGCTTATCACTTGGAAACTTATCGCAGACCAAATGCTCTAAATGCGTAATGTTGATTCTAAATGTGTTGGGAAAAACCGAAGGACCCAGAAAATAAATAAAAAGCATCGACGCCACCACGGGGAGAACATGCAGACTCCAAATATACAGCAGGCGTCTGAGTTGGGATCGAATTCACGCCCGACCGCATACCAGGCCAGGGAGATAACGTCTTGCCACCACGCCTGGGGCGCCACGGTGTTCCAACCGAGACACCGTGGCAGCAATATGTTCGTGAGATAAAATGCCAATGTTGTCCAGGTACGTTTGCCACGAGCGGGCTTCAGGAGGGAGTTGGTGTGGCTTTGCTATTCCTCCTCCATTGAAGGTGAGCAGACAACAGCGCTTCACCCTGCGGTCCACAGTCCGGGTTGCAGGGCCATAAACGCACTGCTAGGGCTTGTGTCTTTAACTTCCAATGCATGAAGGAGATGTGCCGGTTACAGCAGCGTCGTCCCGAGGAATGTCAAAGTCAGGAGGTGCAATGTTTTCGTCTCGAATGAGATACGTATGTGTATGTATGATGGACTTCTTTCGCACCGTACGTAGCCAACCGTGCGAATCGGAGGTGCGGGCAATAAGAATCGTCAAGAGATACTTTCATACTTTGGAGGAATGTTAACAATATTAATAGAATCTCGATATTTATTTATACTAAACACAACAAGGAGTTTACCAAATCGTTATAATGTGGTTGCAATTATTATAATGGCTGTGGTTATATTGTGGCTTCATTTGCGGTTGTAAAATACTTGTTCAGCTTTTGCAAACATTTATCCACTTGCCGTTGATGATATTAACATGAACATTGTTACGTGACACTATTGTTGATGTTGATATATTATTGTTGTTGATATGAAGAATAAATCGTATTGTTGCTGACGTCATTGCTGATGTTATTGTTGTTATGTCAAATCGTTGTTGGTGTTGATGTTATTTCTAGATTTGAAGCTTTCGTGACTGCAAGGATTCATACTCTTAGGTTTTTTCGGTAAAGTCACGTAGGTAAAAATAAAAAATAAAATAATAGAAGTAATAATAGAAATAAAATAATAAATCACGACGTTTCGGAGGCAACACAAGTCTCCGTCATCAGGTGGGACCGTCACAGCTAAAATCACTTGATACAGTAAATCTAGCTGCGACGGTCCCACCTGATGACGGATACTTGTGTTGCCTCCGAAACGTCGTGATTTATTATTTTATTTCTATTATTACTTCTATTATTTTATTTTTATTTTTAACCTACGTGACTTTACCGAAAAAAAACTAAGAGTATGTTGATGTTATGTTGGTGTTGATTATAGAAACTGTCCAGCGAGTGTTATTGGGAGACTAACAAGACGAAATCCATATCGCTCGCAATTCACGTCTAAGTTTCTCGGTGTAATTAGGTGCAGTCGCAAGAGGCGGTACACTGTAAACCATGTGACACATTGTTACTTAAAAAAATTATGGCAACAAAGTGACACGTAATATAATTGAGTAGATTTTAAGCACTACAACTTTGAATAAAAAGTGTTGAATAAATTAACTAAAAAATAATAATAAAAAATAAGTACATGGTAATAAAAGCAACAGTTAAAATGTGTTGGATTTAGTAATATGATTCCAAATGATGAGTTATATAGCCTAAAAAAATGTGTAAATCCAAATAGATTTTACAAGGAAAAGTGATTTATATTTACTTAATATCTGAGCAATGGTAATTTAGATTTACTAAATATCTGGTGGAATCTGATTAATATTTATTAATGATCTGGGTGAAATTGATTTACATTTACTAATTGTCTGGGTGATATTGATATAAGCTTACTAAATATCTGGATCAAAATGATTTGGATTTACTAAATAAAATACTTATATTGAATGTCTGTTGCCATAACTTTTCTATTTCTAATCCACCCAATATCATGCCTTCGTGGTGCCACAATTCACTTACGTTAAGTCAACCGATCACCATGAAAAAGATAAGAACCATGAAAAGGAACAGCAGGTTAACATTTATTCGTGCAATTTTGTCTCAACATGTTTATCCAACATATTACAAGTACAAAACAAAGACAGAAATCATGTATGTGTACAATCGGGGAACAATACTGGAGGTATTTATAATTTGTGGGCATTACAGGCACAGATTACTTTTTTGGATGTGATTCAAGGTTTAGTCTTTTTAGCACATTTAAATTACGACAATGTTTTAAAAAAAATCTGTAAAAAAACTTTCATATTATTTCTTTTTTATATGCGCAAATTGAAATCCTAAGGGCCAATATGTTTTTCAAACAGCTAAAAGAGATTAAAACATCACGTGAATTGACTTGCATTCCCTGTACTTATACTAGTAGCCATAATCCACAATCCGGGTGGACCTATCTTTTTTAACATGCATAATTACAGTACAAGCATGGCTTTCTAACAAGTAAACTAGCACAGCCTACAGATGTTCTATGCATCTTACATCTATTCCTTTAGAACAAACACTTGCAATGGCCTAGGTCAGCGTCACATCAGAAGAAAGCACAATGTTAGAACACCCAAGAAACATTAAACAAAAATAAAGATAGCTTTCAATAACAAATCAGTGCATTCTCTGATAGCCTATCAGATGTATAGGCCTATAACGCAGAACTTTGACAGTCAGACTCAGTTATTAACTCGTTAAGCTCAGTCAAACTGAAGTACTTCTTCTTGGTGAAAATCTGAAAACACAATGCTAGTTCCCTTGGGACTATGCCTTCCAAAAGGTCATGTAGTACATCTGGTGGGTACCCAGACTCAAAATGAAAGTGATTTAATTTATCAGTCAATGGACACGACCGCTTTACGCCAAAGCAATGAGTAACATTTGGATTTTCTCTCAGTTTGCACATGCAAACTATGTTCCTTCTTTGTCCGAGGTGGAAACACTCCGGTCCGCACTTCGTGTGTCTGGTACTCTGAAGAATGTCCAAGACAAAATCTACAGATGTACGGCCCCGTGAAACATTCAACTAGTCCACTGATAGAATGTGCATCGAGATTGTCAGCTACAACACAATGTACTGTCCCTTTAACACTGGAAATGAAAATCCCTTCCTGTTCTAGAATGACAAGATCCTTCAAGAGTGGTTCCAAAACTGCTCTGTATTCAAACTGTTTGACATCAACAGCTTTGCAAAGTAAAGCTAGGTGTATTGACGTTAATGCAGATTGCAACTTTGTTGGAACATTTGCCAAAACCCAATAAACAGCTGTTATTTTGTGTTTTTTTTCTCGAAGTTCCTAGTGGGTTACACACTTCAAAGTCGTCAACGTAAAGGATTATAGACAGTCTTGTTTCTTCCCCAGCATAAAATACATTTTGCTTGAAGGATTTTCCATCAAAAATTGACTTAATATATCCAGTACTATTTGATTTTCTGGATAAAATTATTTCTGCAATGTCTTCATTCTTCAAGACTTCCTGCAAAGTCTGGAGAATAGGCACATATTGAAAGGTCTTGTTCTTTTCAGTATCAATAATATATTCAATGCTATCAACACACTGGAAATGCACCTTAAAATACTTTCTTCTCTTAAAAGCTGAACCAAGTGGACCACCTGCTCCAAGTGCTGTACTAATGGGATGGAAGTTGCACAACTGTTGACAATTCAGTTACGATGGCCTGGTCAACAATGCATTTATTCACCTTCAATGTTGAATCTAGTATGTTCCTAACAACTGCAGCTGATACTGAAGATGAAATGAACTGAAGGTCTTCAACCAAGGCATCAATGCACTTCACTGAGGCATTATAGATGGTTTCTAGCTTCAGCAGAAGTAAGCCAATTCTTTGAAGAACTAAGTATGATGCACTTTCCTGATCACAATCTAAACTAGTGCCCTCACCATCATTGGCCTCTGGTAAATCAGAATGGTCAACAGTCTGATTATGGCGACTCTCATACACATCTTTCTTAAAATCACTCAAAGAATAGGATTTGTGTCTTTTGCTTTTGTGTTTTAGAAATGTATTGTATATATTTGTCTGAAAGCTGCATCCTGCAAATACACAAAATACAGTTTCGTGGCTCTTCAGATGATTTCCAATATGCTGAAAGTAGTCCTTCTCTATAGAACAACAAGCATTGCAAACTAAACACTTAAAAGCAGTATGTTTCCTGACCGTAGACTTTCTTCATCTGAATGGTATCTGGACAAATGTGTGCGAAGGGCACTCTGTGTTTTAAATGTGCAAGGGCAACTGTCATATAGGCATGGCTGGGATTGCCCACGACCAAATGTTGCGTGTTGTAGTCTGTAATGCTTTAGTAGATTTCCCTTTGTGGCAGACAAAGACTTGCAGATCTTACACTTCCATTCCATAAGCAAAAACCTGAGGCAGAAAAAGGTCCATGTATCAGATGCAAGGCCACCAGGTCTCTAATCACATGAGGACAATAGGAGCACATTTACAAGATAATTCCTTATTATTTTTAATATTCAAATTTTCATGCTCACATTTAGCACATCAACTTCTTGTCACTCACATCATCTAGCTAGCTAGCAACTACACAACAAGCTAGCCACAACGTAAGGGTGACGCTAACTGACTGGTGGCAAGCTAGCTAACGTTAGCATACTGTACGTACATCAACAGCAAGATATAATATACTGGAGGTGTAACGGCAGGTACAGGACTTTTGGTTCGATACACGCTGTGATCCGAATGAATATAGTCTAGTTTTAATCACACACGTTACTTTTTCGTGTGCGGAACAAAAATTATAGTCTCGTGCTTTTAGTCAAATCAGACTGACTTCCAAAGGCCTAACGTTGTGCTAGTTAATTCTGATATTGGCATGCTGGTAATATGCAGTAACATAAAACAATGTTCAACTGCTACCACACCTTTGTTAAAAAAATGTTCGCTAAAATAATAAAACATGTCTTACCTTTGGGAGAACGGCGGTCCCTGAAACGTGTCTGTTGAAGAAGATGGTTGACATGCACGTGGCGCGAAAAAATGCCTCGAGTTTGGGCGGAAGTGTAACGTTATTAAATTCAAAAACCTCCCGGTTAGTAAAATTAATCAATTTTTGGCATTTTTGACTTTCCTGATAAAATACAATTAAATTCTACTCAGTTATTGATGGCTGATTTTATTTGAACAAAATTGAGTAAAATACAATTAATAACTAATAGAAAGGTGTTGAATTCAGCTCAATGTGATTCTAAACTACACATAGTCATTATTTTTATGTATAGGCTACTCCTATATATTTACTAAACATTAATTAACCCCAGTCTCGGTTTTTACAGTGTAGTGGCATCTTTAAAGTCCACGCTAATGGCTATTATTCGTACGTCTCCACGGCTGTTCCCCACAATAGCGTGTGCGTGTAATCTCAACAAAGAATGTGTATGACCCTCACGTATCTGTAATTTAGCTGTCGGCTGCTCTGCTACACCCAAAGTTGTTACAGCAAAATTAAAGTTTCGTATTACAAACGTTCCACTGGGAGAAAGAAGAGCACGCGTTTCACTTTAAATGGATCAAAACATATATAGATTAAGCATCTCCGATTTGCTTAAGAGGTCATCATGACATCCAATGGCAATTAACAGCGGCTAATTTTGAAATTTAAATAAAGACCGACAGGTCGTGTAGAGCAGTTCGCCAAACAATTTTCGATATCCGTGGGACAATTGGAAAACGCGGCTGTGATCATCTAGGACGGGTATTGAAGGTGAGCGGGATTTAAATTATGAGATAAAGACTCGGACACATGGCAGGCAAGGGGTGTTTTTGAGTAAGTTGAACGTGATCATTAAACGTAACACGCACACACGCGCAGACACCAACGTGACGAACATGTTACTTACCTGCTATGACACGAATCAGAAACGTGATACAATTTTTTTTTATCAATGAATAAAATTTTACAAAGAATATTGGGAGAGACACGCTCATGATTGCGTTGAGAGCTATAAAAAAGGGAACACGTGAATTAAAAGAGCATACGGGACGACTACAAAGTATAATTGTTTAACTTTAAGCAAACTTGGACAGAGAACATCTAGAAGGCCGATGTACGAGACGGGTGCAGTATTTCAGCCAAAGGAGTGGACGCGTCGAAGAGGATGACCGCCATGGAGACAGATTGACGAGGTGAGTTCATGAATGTTGAACTTATTTCGCACCGTACGTAGCCAACCGTGATCATTATAATCGGAGCTGCGGGCGGGGGAAGGACAACAAACGAAACACACTGAGAGCAGTTTGTGTTCAGCACTGAGCCGTGAGCGTTTGCGATTGCGTGGTGAGGCCTTCATCCAGCAGTGGATAGAAAATGACTGATAACTCAAAATTAGGTCAAAAAAACCTCGTTATTTTAACAATGATATTGGAGAACGAAATCATTCGCCTACTTCAGCAGTTGTTTCTATCTGTGGTTGTTCCACCTGATGACGATTGCTTGTGTTGCGATCGAAACGTCGTGATCTATTTTTTTTTCTACCTACGTGACTTTACCCAAAGAACCAAAGAGTATGGATTTCTGCAGTCACGAAAGCTTCAAATCAAGATTTAATTATTCAGTTGCGTCCACGTGCAGTGGTGAGCGTTGGGACACCGAGAGAGGAGGAGGAGGTGGCGCGTGGCGCTCACCCATGCGACCCGTGCCTACCCCAGCGCGATGCCAGAGAGACGCAACAATCAATCTCCCTCTTGCCGCACGGGTTCGTTACCGACACGTGTGCAGAACTGTCTCGTACCTCTGGAGCTCGACTTCGCGTCTTGACGGGAACATCTCATCCCGTCGCCTGTGATCGGTCGGCTCAGAACGCGCCAGAGCGACAGCGGCAGATTCGGAGTTCATCATCATAAATGCGTTTATTTAAAATAATACATTAAAACAAAACTACACACAACAGCCGCTGGAACGCAGCACGGAGCCCAGGATGGAGCAGAGCCCAGCCCAGCCCGCTACCGCTTCGACCTCCACAAGCCCCAGGGGACTCCTTTTAACCTCACCGATCTCAGGTGGCCTTACTCCAACGGGAGTGGCACCGCGTGTTCCTCATCACCTGCTGCTATGTTCTATTGGTATACGTCTGCGTGATGGTCGAGCAAGGCTTCTCCAAATTACTTATTGACAAACCCCCAACCCCCTGAATAAACTATACCCGTGTGTGTGTGTGACACAGATCGTAACACGTGGAATCGATGGTGGAGACATAGGCGCGCGAATTCCACCAAAAAGTAGACGAAGAGGAGCGCGCCACTCTCCATCGGGAGGCGAACGAGGCGCGCGCTGCGAGGGCTGCGCGCGCGTCTCCTGCCGAGAATTCCAGCGGCTCCTCCAGCCCTCCCCCACCCCTCCCACCCCCACCGCCGCCCCCACCCCCGTTTCGTGCGCGCACCTGCGCGGAACCACGGAGCGAGACGCGCGCCTTGCCCGGGGGGAGTCTCTCGCATCGGAGCCGTGGCGCGAGCCAGCGGATATGTGGCTCCGGGTTGGTCCCAAATCTCTCCTCGCTCTCACGGTCACCGCCACCTGCCTGCTGATGCTGCTCGCGCTGCTGCTGGCGCCAGGCTCCAGGAGAACGGCGGCGCCCCTGACCCTCCGCGCGCGGGACCCGACCGACGAGCGGACGCAAGCGCCTCCGCTCGCCCGGTCCGCGGCGCCCTCCGAGGGGGCGGGAGGGTCCCGCGGAGCGCCGTCGGACCCCGTGCACGTGGAGATGACCCGCGCGTGGGAGCGCTGGACTCGGCGGCGCAGCGACGGCGTAGGCGCGACTGCTCCCCCGGGGGCAGCTGCTGTGCGCTCTCCAGGGACTGGTGCGGCGCGGCACCGATGTGCTGCGGCGCCACGAGGCGGCCGGGGCGCCGGGGCGCAACGCGCTGCCCACGGTGTCCCTCGCCCGGCAGCTGGCGGGGAAGTGGCGGCGATGCGCCGTGGTGATGAACGCGGGGTCCCTGCTGCGCGCTCAGCTGGGAGCAGAGATCGGTGAGGAGACGTGGGGGGGGGGGGGTGGGGGGGGCGACTGAGGAGGAGGGATCGGAGCGGAATGATGGGAGGGGGGGTGAGGAATTTCTTCTGCGTGGACAAACTCTGGAGCCTCGGGCTTGGAAGGGGCTGAGAGAGTCGAGATTGCTTGCAAGGTTCAGGTATTTATAACAAATTTAAAACCCCTCTGAGCCTAATGTTGATTGAAAGCCCTTTGATCCAATGTAAATTAATAATTAGGCCCAGGAATGGTTGTTTAGTGTTAAGCAACACACTAACATTGTTACCATTATGCAATGTACTTGCAAAATTCTATAATTTTTATTTTTAATACGTAGAATTGAGTTCTACATTTTTATTATTGAAGGGTTTGTCTGTTATCATATGCCAATTTAGAACTATTAGGAAACCTTAAAAAATATATATCGTTATTAGGCCATATGGTGCAGTCCCCAACTATGATTAACTTGATCTCACTTGTCTCTATTTATGTGCTATGAAGAAGGTCCATTGCCAAAATCATTGCTTATGACGTTATTTTTTTCCATTTCAAGGAAAGTCTTCTTGGCAATTGTTATTTGTACTCGTGCACCACTGTCAATACGTTACTCGATCAGCAAAGCCACCTGAGTGATACATTTGACCATGAGAGTGACGGGCAGGATCACGAATTGAACCTCGAAGCAGGAATGTATCCACTTGTGCGCTCGTCCAGATGGCCACGACGCGGTCATGCGCTTCAACTCGGCACCCACGGCCGGCTATGAACTTCACGTGGGCACCAAGACCTCCATTCGCCTCGTCAACTGGCAGGTAAGGTCGCAACTTTGTTGAGCTTGTCACTCGTGGTCGGGTCGCTCCTGAAAATTAAGTTAATGCCTCCCGGTGGGGGGTTAAGGAGGGTATTGGTGTTTAAAAAAAGAGAAAATTAAGAATATTCCCTTACACTGGAGGAATCCACAAAATTGACAATTGGTTAAACTCTTGATGTTCATTATTCGTACATGTATTTCTTAGAACCACGTTGGGGCAGGCAAAGGGGGAACTCGGTTGAACACAGGGTACAGGAGCCGCGAAAGGCTGGGAGCCACTGACGTATGCGGCATTTGATCTTCGCTTCCACGTTGACCAGGTGTGTTGTAAGAGGTGGAAATAATCACGCTTTACCCCACTACGTACGACTCATTGATCTATGAACTGTGGTGAACCCATTTATACTCACGTGTGGAGAGAGGTGGTGGAGAGAGGTATTATTAAACGTTCTACCACGCTGGAATATGGAAGATGCAATCGTACCAGCGGCCTCTGGATTGCAAGTCCAGTGGAATAACCATTCAACCATGGCAGCTCCGTGGTTAAACACACTCACAGTTGCTTTATCTTTTTGGGAATGACTTATGATTTCAACACAGGGGCGCCAAGGTGCCGAGATGCCAACTGCCTGGCCTGGTGTGCCACTTTGTTGAGCTATCAATGTGTGGCCGGGTTACTTTTGAAAAAGAGCTATATAGTTCAGTGCGCCTACCTGGAAAATACAAAAAAACAAGATACTGTAGTTTATAGTTTTTTCTGAAGCATTGCTTGGGTTAGAGTCCAGTAGCTTGGAACACACATCAGGGATAGATCAGGGACAGTCGAACGTGGTGATTTGTAGCACCGCAGTTAATTACATAACAGTAGAACACATCTCAATGTCTCACTACTGACCCTGCCACATTCCTTCCACTTATCTCGCTTTCCAGATCGTAAATCAGGAGGAGTTCGACTTTGAGACGAGCGAGCTGTACAGAGACATCATTCTGGTCTTGTGGGGCCCCCCTCCATATACCTGCACTAAGAAAAACGTGAGCGTTCACAAAACACAAGAATCCTTCACACCTATTACGCAACTCGACGTGAAGGCGAGGTTCGGGATAGGGGGCTTGGGTTCCCGCGGCTTACTGTGAGGGTCAGGTTTTGGGCTCAGCAGGCGGTCTCCGCTTTGTGACGGTCCGATTTTTACAACGATCCACATTCGGGACATTTACATAACGCCACCACGGGACCGATTTACAATGCATCTTCTGACTGGACTCCCGAATTATGGGGAGCCCTTGGGTCTGCATGCCGCGGCATTCAATCCACAAGTCACATCCACACTACTCTACGCCTTCTCCTCCGCCACTGCCTCGTATTGCCCTCCTCTAACCAAGCCTTGTCGTCTTCCACTCCAAAATGCCCCCACCCCCCTCCTCTCATCCGTGCAGCAACAGCAGTGGAAGGGCCATGTGAATATCACGTTCCCGGCGCTCGACGCGTACATGAAGCGCAGGCGCGAGCGGCCTCGCCAGCCATTCTACCTGCTGCACCCGTGCTTCCGCCGGGGTTTGTGGGATCTGGTGCAGTGCAACGTGGGGCACGAGGAGCGCATCTTGCCAAACCCCACTTCGTCGGGGCTTCTGGGCAAGTTTTACGAGAAACGCGTGATGTGCTGACGGGCTGACGTGCAGATAGGGCTCGCAGCGAATGTCGCCTTTACTCCGATTTAAGAGCCAGAAACGGGAATGGTTTCTCTTCACAATTCCAGCAACTCACCTGATGAAGCTGGTTGTTCACATCACCAGCGAAACGTCACACAGTACTCAAATTGTACATGTTGTGGGTTTAGCCTCCAACACACCGGTGTGCTGATTGAGTAACTAATTGACACGTTATTTTCACGTGACAAACCTGACTAATTGATTGTGTCGGGTGGTGGCAGGTTTAACGACACATTTATTTTCATGTGATCTAACCCCCCAAAAAAACCTTTTATTATAAACAACGTCGTACTATATTTCGATTTAAAGCTTTCGTGACTGCAGGGATTCATATTCTTGGTTCTTTCGGTAAAGTCACTTAGAATGGAAATAATAAAATAATAAAACATAATAAAATAATTCTCACGACGTTTCGGCCACAACGCAAGCAGCCGTCCTCAGGTCTGTCAGGGAGACAGCGTCCATTTAGATGCTGTCTCCCCGACAGACCTGGTCTTCACCTGAGGACGGCTGCTTGCGTTGTGGCCGAAACGTCGTGAGAATTATTTTATTATGTTTTATTTTTTATTATTTTACCGAAAGAATCAAGAAGGAGAACGTAGTACTACTTTGATCTCGGTACAAATCAATTCCTGCCACCGGAACACAGGTGCCAATCCCCGGCCCGTCTGGGTCAAACTAAGGTCAAAGGGGTGGTAGCACTTGGTGCGACTCGCGTGTTTGGTGGTGGTTACTAGCGCCGCCCTCTCTGCCTCGTGGTGCTGCAGGAGTAGCGCTGATGATGAGCCTGTGCCAGGAGGTGACCGTCTACGACTTCATCCCCCCGCGAGGCCGTGTCACGCGGCAGTGCCACTACTTCGAGCCCGCAAGGAACCCGCAGTGCACCCTGGGCTCCTGGCACCCCCTCATGCAGGAGAAGCTGCTGGCGATGCACCTCTCAAACCAGCCGGCTCAGCGCGCCCTCCAGAGCGGGCGTCTCGCCATGCCCGGCCTGGCCAACCTCACGTGTTCCCCTCGGCACAAATAGAAACGCGCTACCCAAGGGCTCTTTTATCCGTCTTACCCGATGTGGGTGAGCTCTGATTGAATGTATCCATATTCTCAGGTTTTTTCGGTAAAGTCACGTAGATAAAAAATTTAAATTTAAATTAATAGAAGTAAAATAAATTAAAATAAAAATCACGACGTTTCGGAGGCAACACAAGCTTCCGTCTCCGAAACGTCGTGATTTTTATTTTATTTTACTTTTATTAATTTGAATTTTAAAATGTTATCTACGTGACTTTACCGAAAAAACCTAAGAATATGAATCCTTGCAGTCACGAAAGCTTAAAATCTAGAATGAATGTATCCACTTTGCAGTTCAATCAACCGATGGTGATGACAACTGCCAGGTTTGGGAAATCTTACCTGATTCTAGATTTGAAGCTTTCGTGGCTGCAAGTATTCATAATTTTTAGGTTTTCGGTAAAGTCACGTAGGTAAAAAAAAACATTAAAATTAATAAAAGTAAAATACAAATAAAATAAAAATTCACGTTTGTCACGTAATAAAAACGTTTTGATTACGTGACAAACGTGATTTTTATTTTATTTTTTATTTTACTTTTATTAATTTGTCACGCAATCAAAACGTTTTGATTACGTGACAAACGTGATTTTTATTTTATTTTTATTTTACTTTAATTTATTTAAAAAAAAATTACCTACGTGACTTTACCAAAAACCTAAGAATATGAAATCTTACCTGCCCTTTCTGGGTGAACTCACCTACTCTGTGGTGAGCATTATGGGCCACAGGGTGGCACCGTGGTAGCAAGTGCCTCGTTTATAGAAGTACAGTACAGTAAT